CTTCTACGCCGTGTAATACATATCAGTGTAATACATATCACCTTTCATTCCCAGCTTGATTTGCAACTGAAAAGATTGGTATCCCCTCAGAGGTGACTGTAAATCCTCGCTTCAGTGGCAATTTATGGAAGTACTTGAGTTTTGTTAAATGTTTACTCAACCAGACTAAATGCCAATCGACATTGTATCATATGGGTGAAGCTCGTATCTGATGGGCTTTACATTCTATTGAGAGGCAAGTTAGTGTCTGTGTCAGGACATTATCAAGGAGCATGAAGTCCAACCCCCATGCGTCACAGATTACGTCACAATGCATCATGCTGACTCTGTGTCAGATGTTGTAAATGTCTCCGCGCGTTTCACATGGTTGTAGTGTTATCATACTTAATTATTGAAGTGTCTTAAATTAACTACTTGATGGATTTCTTTGAGTCATCCACACAGGCAGACGCGTTATTCATGTGATTTATTACCCGAGGCTTTTCATTGTAGGTCAGCATAATCAGTGCTCCCTGCTTTCTATTGCTCAACTTGTGCTCAATTTCAGGAAGTGCAGTTGTCTGTACAAAATGTTGTTCAGTTTCTCAGGGTTCTCCTCGGCATTAACAATTAACTCTGTGGAATCAGCTTGTAAACAGAAGTGCTATAAAACTCGACAGGTCACAGGACATTACCCTTTGTTAGGTGAATTTCAATGTACTGCCTTGTTGTAGCCCTGTAAAAAAGACATGCATCATCAAGTCTATGGATACAGAATGACTGTCAGAATTGAAGGTAAAGCCTCACTTGGTTTCTTAGATTTTAGAGTTTGGGGCAGTAATTGTCATAGGGTGTTGTGGTGTGTGTGTGTGTGTTCAATGCTGAGGTAAAAAAGGAAGCACAGACTTGTGAGGGTGTCTAGGGCATGGAAAACTAATCAGGGACCAAAACACTGCTGTCGAAATTCAGCTTGTAACACTGTTTATGGAGCCATTGCAGGCTCTGCCAACACAAACCTCTCCAGTCTGGTTTTATCACCTCCAGAGACGGCCATGATTAGCGCCCCACACTGCTAGCCATATATCTCAGCTGCCTCCTCATGCTCAGGATGACCCATTAAATGTAGACTGAGAAAGAGAGAGAGCATGAGTAGGTGGGATGGAAACGATGGAGAGCAGAGATGCTACCAGTAGTTAATGTAATAGTGTTGACTCAGCCTCTGCGCTCTTTCTGCAGAGATGTACCTTACATTGTCTGTTTGTAGACTACTGTAGTATTACTGTTTGCGTGGCCACTCCCTTGCAACACACATGTACATAAACAGGGGGTAATAACTTGAAAGACAGACACCTGATGTGGGTGGCAAAGAAGTAAACAAGATGTGTGGATTTATTGTTATATATTCCCTTTCACCATGGACTCACACAAAAGCTCTTTTGTTCTCCACAATTTACTGTAGGAGATGCTCACATTCCATTGTTCCTTGTTAATTACTTCACTAAACCTCTTAGTCTTTTGCCTATTATACAGTGTATATATACTGTCTGTCCTGCTCAAGACTAAAGCAGTTCCCTCAAGTACATAGAAGGGGGATGCCTACTTCTGTATTAATTCAGTAACCATCTCTTCTCTTTCATGCTGTATTTTTTCTGTAGAGAAAACATTTCTCCCACAGAATCCCCTCTCTATAACATACATGATCTTGACATCTTGAGAAATTGGGCAGATCCCAGGCTGCACTATAAGTTGTGTTCATAGTTGCAGACCTCAGAATCACCACCTACATCTCAAATCTTAAATAATGAATTCAGTGGGGCTGTTTCTTAACAGCAGCTAACCAACCCGGGAAGCTTCAGACTTGACTTTATTAAACACAGCGTCCCCTTTGTGTCTTTATTACATATCCATTGTATGGCTGATAATGTGGTGGAAGGAATTAAGCTGTTTGACTTTGCCTCATCTGTTGTCTTCTTGTATCAGGACACCACGTCAGCTAACTGTGTTTAAACACATCATACTTACTGTATGTTTAACTTGATCATCTTGTGCTAACTGGTCAACACATCCTCTGTCGGTCACTAGTGACTAGTTAGATTAAAATCAAATCACAGAAAATTGCCAACAAGAAGATAATGTCAGTCCAAATTGTGTTGCCATAATTTTTGTGATCATATTTTGAAAATATGTAGAACTTTATTATATGTTGTAGCATGGTGGTTGATGAAACATTCATTTAGTTTTTTCATCACAATTTTAAACTGTATTAATTTAGATCATCAACTGCTGTAAAATAATTTAGCTTCTGAATTCAGCCTGACTTATTGTGTTAATTAATTAGATTTCAGTTTCTGGTGCAGTAATCTGCATGATCATTTTAGCCATAATTATTCAGTGCTAACTCTTCCTTTGTTACTTGGATACACAGGCTTCAGAATTAAATTATTACAAGACAGAAGGATTCCCGTACAATCTCACAGGGGCAGACATCCACTCCTACATGTTATTGCTGTTTTTCTCTTGCTCTCCCACATAGTGGCAAACAATGTCTTCCTGTGTGCTGAGCAGCTTGCTCACATTTTGCACTGCACCATTTTCACTGTAATGCCCTGTCCCTCCCTCGCCAGCACTGCCACCACAACACAAATGCACATAGTGGCAAGTGTTGTCCTATAGTATTTGTGTGTAGCTGGGAGCCATCAAGCTGCACTGGGATAAATAAGCAGCTAAATAAATAAAGAATAAACCTCGCTCTAGGAATTTGTCTCATTGAAGATGAAAAGCATCTGTCTCTCTCTGGCATGTGTTGTGAAAGATATCCCTCCACCACCAAAGGTTTGGTGCACGGCGAGTAGCCAACTCTATCAGCCTCACTCACTCTCGCTACCCGCCGACATGAACCAGTGCAGCACTGGTGTTCATAAAAATGAGTGTCAAACAAATGTGTCTGCCAACAAACTTGATATGAGTTACATTCATTTTGCTAAGCTAAAGTGGGGGTTTAACGTGAAATAAGAATGGGGCCTAAATGTCTTTCATTCTGGTTGCAGAGTGGGGGTATGATCCAATTCTTTGGCACCCTGAGTAGTATATTCATATATCTTTTTCTTCTACAGACTGCTACAGCTTAACACGCCAACAATGAATAGTATACTTATTACCAGTGAAGATGAAGACACAAAGGGAAGCTCCCCCCCCTTCCCAGAGGTTTTAAATTGTTTTAGCTTTCTCAAAAATCAGAGCTTGAACACTAGCTGGCTGCACAGTGTTTGGAAATTCCTTAGATGCAAAGTGTGTTGCAGTGGAAATTAGTTTAGTAGACATGAAAGCCTAGGGGCACATTCATGTGAGTGATAAACAGTGTTGAAGAGCTAGCCATCAGTTGTACCTGTCTACAGCTGTGCCCAGACCACCAGCAACACACACAACATTCCTTCACATCATTGTATTTTCCTTTGCCAAGGGAGTTGTCAAATGAGGTTCAGAGAGCTCCAATGAATGAAGAGGAACTCTTGGAATTTTGCTCTGGGAAGATCTTTGCTCGATCTAATGTTTTCCTTGGTCTTGTTTCACAAAGAGGATGGTTGAAGACGTGCCCAGTGTGTGCACTTTTTCACTGCTTCTACACACGCATTGTAATAGCCATGTGAGTAATGAACTGCTCAACACCTCACAGGCTTAAGAATGGAATCTTTTTTTTTCACAAGATACTGGAGGCATTGTGTTCCTGACACGCTGACTTATGTGGCTGAACTGAAAAGACTAAAGCTGACAGGCCACCCAGCAAGCCTCGAGAGATACCGTGTTGTGTGTGCCTCTACTTCTCTTTTCACAAATATCAACGATCAGTATTGTTCAGTCACCACTGTGAACTGGGCAGTGAGACTGAACAGATGAGCTGAGATACTTTTCAATTCACTTCCAATAGGCTACTTGTAAAAGCTTTGTACAGAATCGTTGTCAGGGAGCCTGTGAAGACAAAACTAGGCATACTTTAAAACTTTTTAAACTTTTCTCATTTTAGTTCTTTTTTTTCTGAGGTCCTCTGGAGATACTGTTTTAATTCTCTCAAAAGAGAGATAACTATCCTTACCGCGCTGTGGTCTGCTTTACTGTATTATGATTATACATCACAGATGGCTGTAGGCAACAGGGTAGGGATAAAAAATGTAGTTGGTTCAATTTGTGAGGATACACAGTTACTTTGTTTATAACAGTATTAGGCATTGAAACTGCAGGACATAACAAACATAAGGTCATATATCTAAATCTTATCAGTTGGCTTAGTCATTTCCCAAACTTAATCTAATTCCTCAAAATACACAAAATGCATGTTTGAGAGGCAGCTTTTGTTTCTCTGTCCCCCTACTACTACTTCAGATGATTGTGCAGTGCTTTCTGATGAATGAATTAATTTGCAGAACACCTGCTGCTGCTCTGTTGACCAACCATGTCCCGCCTTTGGATGTATGTATACATGTTGTCATCCTGTGAGGACATGGTACTTTGTTGATTGAACCCATCTGGAGGACACAGTTTCAATTTCTTGATGGAGAGCATTAAGTGGGTGGTGGTCCCTAGGGAGTGCTGTTTAGAAGGTCCTCTGGGTGCTTAACTCATCCTCATTGTAAATGTAATCCTGTGTCCTGACCTCCCCTTTGTCCTTGGTATTTCTTCCGATGATTTCTCTCCACCACACCACACTGCTTTGTTTCCATAGTCATCTTCTAATGTAGTTTGCATGTTACATTTGCTTCACTTGTATTTTCATTTGCTCCCAGCAGCAAGATTGTACTGTGGTATTGCGTGTCTTGTTGATCGCAACCATAGATCTCCAGTGTTGTGCGTGTGTGGTTTTTTTTTTTACTAGTATACAAAATTTCCATCTCCTTTGGTTCCGTACTACGACTTGCTTTTGATATGTGTTAACATGTTGTTATGCTCATTCAAATATATGCAAATATCTGGTGAGCTTCAATTCTAATGTTTCTTTACTCTGGCTCTGCATCTGTTTGCTCTCCCAGGTGTTAGTTTTTGATCCTGTCAGAGTGGGACGTGTCTAGCAGGGGACCGAGGAGGGAGCAGTGCCAACTTAGAACATGGTGCCTAATACTCAGCTGGCAGTACCCCTCCTGCCCAGAGGGGAGTTGCTGTTTCTGCTTCTACTCAGCTGCATGGTGTTCTCTTCTCTAGCAGACAGTAAGTAACTTCATTCACATGTGGAGCCCTGCCTTGCTTTCTTCTCATTAAGCCTCATAAGTTTATTAAGAGCATTTGAGCTCCATATTCACTTATAATGGAAATTACACACAATGGGAGGTTAAAACAGAATAATTTCATTTGTACTAGCTAATCTAGTGATGTAGCCTTTATTTTACACTCTCCTTGTTCTGGTGAAGTTGAATTTTGCCCACTACATTGCCGCACAATAATTGACTGTGTGTATATTCACAGAGAACAGGCGTTCATATTGTGTAGTGGAGAGCTGCTTTTAAAATAGAACATGGATTCTGTTTACATTTGGTGTCTTTTGTGGATTCCCGCAAACAGAAATAGCATCTCATCTAATGCATGTGTCTAAGTATAGGAAGCCATAGCATCTGCACTAAAAACAGACACAGTGTGCTTGTGCTCGGTTGTCAGTCTAAATGACAGTTTTGGCTGGAAGAAGGCATCCTGAAAGATGTCACCACTGATGTGCCTTTGGGTGTCAGGGGCATACAAAGAGGTACTGCCCTGTCAAAGACGGGGTCATGGACAGAATTAATTCAACACATGGCCTCACCCACAGTGCTGTCATAGGGTCTCTGTAATTCAATTATACCCCTCTCTGACCACGCCAACTGCCCTGTCCTTTTATAAATGGGCCCAGAAGGATTTGTTTTTCTGTACCCTTTGTCTTCTCTCATCCAGCCTTGTGTTATCATCTTTGCCACCTCAGGTGTGTCTAGAGTTTTGCACAGAGTGTAAGTGTGAACTTGACCTTGTGGAGAGTTTTGCACTCCTGTCTTTATTTCTTATGGGCTGGCAAGACTGTCTTTGTTCTGCTTGTAATGTGAGCAGACCAAATCAGACTGACTGGAGCAATAGTGCTGAAGTAAGACCTGAAAAATGTGCCCCACTGCACTAAATTCAACACAGTCACATCTATTTGACTCAGTTCCATCCGTGCTGCTTTTGCTATGCACCCAAAATAATTGCACTATGTTTCAATATGTCTAGTTATAATGTGGTGTCAGCATGCTATGTCTAGCGTTCTGATAGAAAATAATAACCTCTGAATGCTGACGGTCATATAAAAGTTCAACTAAAATAGGAATTTCTGATGATTCTTAAAGAATATGATGAAAAAATAAAGCAATCTAAAAGAAATTACTTAAATAACAGTGGTGTATGAATAATTGGCATAGTACCCTGTCAGTATTTTATTTATTGGTTATACACCATGTTTGTTTTCAGGTTTTGTTGTTTTGTTTGAGTACATGCGCTCTTCTGTGCCTACATTTTAATTGTCACCAAGGGGATAGACGAAACTGATTCAATTCCATTAGCTTTTTAGAGCTCATCAAGAAAAGCTGCTAATATCAGCGGCTCTGAAGGTGGCGTGATATTAATTAAATACAGTCAATCTGTCAGATGCTCTATGAATTTGGATGGGGCCTTGATTATTAAGCTGTACTGCTGTTGTGCTGTTTTCATTCTATGTTGTACAAATATCTATATGTGAATGGTGTGAGATTTAAAGATGACAGGCAGACATAAGCTACAGGACAAAATTAATTATACTTCACTGTGTTTAGTCTGTGAACATGGGTTAATGTGGATAGTGTTCTACAATAACTTTACTAATGCAAACCTAGTGTTTTGGTTCTCTGCATCTATGACAGCAAGCTTGCCCTGGTCTCTGATTTCAGTAATCATATTATTTACAGATAAAAACAGAGGGCTAAGCATTTTAATTAACAGACAAAGATACTCTGCTGTGACAAGCTGGCACTAGTGTTTATTTTGAGGATACGCCCCAAACACTGCTATATGAATAAGGGACATGAGAAAAGATTGAATTTCAGCTTAAACCAAATAACAACTTGAACAAAAGCCTAGCTTTTGTCCGAGGTTAAGCTATGGTTTTAGTTTAATGTAACTACACATGGGAAAAGTCCTAAACCTGCTATTACCTGGACCGAAAAGCAAACAGACATAGAATTAAAATAAGACAGTTGGGGGGTCAAAAATAACACCTCCCACTAATAGCAGGGTTGTGTGCATTTAGGTGCCTGTAATTTCTATGCAACTTAGTTATGTGAACTTGATAGTTGTGGCTTGGATTTCCTGTATTACAAGGCAGACACCAGACAGATATTATGGGCGGGGTGCCCAGCAAGTATCTTATTACATGGGTTCAGTTTGGTGTCTTTGTTTTTCCTCTTGCCTGCAAACACACAGCTGTATGAGCAGTGTTTGTCGACCCCCTTAAATACAAACCATAGGCCGTTCCATTTACACTGGTTTAAGATGGCTGCTTTTCAGATGTTGTTGTCATATATATATACTGTGTGTGTGTATGTGTGTGAGATTTGCAGTTCATCCTGATTTAGCAGCACAAATAAGCACAAGACATCCTCCTACTGCAGTACTAGAGCTATAACTCCATGACATCATTCATCTTATATTGTCATTGAATAGATACACAATACAGCGTGATTAGCCTGAGTGCCGATCGCAGACGTCCCATCAATCCCAGGGGAGCTCAGCTTAATTAGCCAGCTCTCTATACGGCCCCCTTTGCACACAATAAGCCACTGGCCCAGAAGGTCAGCCTCAAAGTTACACATAGCCAGCACTTAAATGTAATGGTTATCTTTTTGTAGTGCTGTCATTGTGAGTTATTTCATTGGCTATAATAAGCTTTTGATGTATGTGTCTCCTCTTGTGCCTCTCATGTTATAATCTCTGATGACTTTTCATGAGATGTGCGGCAAGACCGCTGCAGCCTCCTTTGTACCCGAGTCTGTTCTTTTCACTCCCAGCAGCAAGAGGAGGATAACAGTGGCACAATAATTAACTTAATAAGTTTAAAGTGATTTATTGTATCAAACCACTGTCTCATGCCACAACCTTTTAGTGTCTTATTTGTGCTCCCCTACCCCCAGTACATTAATTGTAGTTTGTAAGACCTCTGGACTGTTTCTTAGCCACTATGTTCTTTGTTGTCCAGTGGCTAGACCACTAAGAAGGCTCCCAGGCAGGTTAAATATGCATGTCCTCTTGACTTTATATGAAAATGTTCCTGAGTGACCTGTAAATGCTTATGATACCCACATTTTAAGAACAGAGGTTCTTAAAAAACTTTTAAATCCACCCATATACTACATGAACCTTTAAGTCAAGCTGCATAGACTGTTTGGCCATTTCCATCGCTCTTGCAATGTACTGATGCTATAGAAGTGCCAAAGTACGGTGGTGGGTGGAGGGGTGGGGGCCCCAAAATTGAATTGTATTTTTAAGTGTCCATGTGGTCACTCAGTTCAAAAGCTAACAGGGATAGAAATTGATTCTTTTTTAATTAAAAGTAACCACATCCACCTTGGAGAGCCACTTGGAGAGTAATGCAGTTAGCGCACAGCTGTGGTCCACACACATCATGCAGACAGGCACACTGAGAGAGGGGCAGAGGTTGGGGGGAGAGCTAAACAATTGAAAAGTGCTCTGTGAAAGCAGTGGCAGAAAGCAATATATATATGTGAGGGAAAAACACACACGAGATAAAGTGCTGGAGGAACACAATTTAATTGTTGATGAGATTCAGTGGGGAAATTGTTTTCATAAGCCAATGAAAGGAAGAAGGAAAGGGTCATCGGAGGTTAATGATGTGAGATTAATAGTTTAATTAGAGAGCTCAATAGCAGGGCCAGAGATGGTCACCCAAACCCCCTGCTGTGTCCCAGATTCGACAGTGCCACAGGACAACAAGAGCCACCAGTGTCCTTCCAGAAAAGGGCATATGGCCAAAGACATTTTAAATTTGTGTTCATAGTGATGGAGTTATTCATTATATCTTTCTCCCTTAATCCTAGGCTTTTTGATTTGAACTAATCTAGTATTAACACAGATTTGAAAGAATTGATGTGGATTTCATTTTTGAGAGATATTAGCTGTATGGAGATACTTTAATCCTTCTAACTTGTCACAACCTGCTCACGGGTCTGACTCTGCTGAGAATGGAGAAATTCAAGCTGGCATTGACACACACCCATGTATTGGTTACTTTTGGAGCTTCCTCTAAAGTGCATTTAAAGGCATTTAACTCACCTCAAACAGCCTGTGGACATTGAGCAAAATAACATGGTTGGATTTCGAGCGAGATTTATTTCATGGGTAAAAAGGTCACCTTAGCTTTGCAAAGATGCAAAATCATAAGGGAAGCAACAAAGAGCCTGTTGGCACCTATACAGTCAGAATTTCATTGTTGTTCTATGTTTCTACAGTAACATAATTTAATTTCCTACTCAGTTTTGTCTACTGGAGTGTTGAATTACTTAATACCTCGGGGCCACGTGGGTGAGAAAATGAGAACAATGGTAAGGGCTCTTTGTGGGCTCTGAGGGAGGGCTAATCTAGGTGAGGCAAATTAATGAGGTTAGTGGGTTTGTGAGGGAGCGCGTGGTGATGGATGATGAACTAACCCCAAAATGCAATCTGTGATGACACTAGGAGGCATCTCAGCACCTGAGAGTCCAACCCACGCCCTCCTGGGATCACTTAACACACTTAACATTTTCCCCACACTGGTCTATTAATGTCAGAGTCTGAGCCAAGGTGACCATTGGACTTCACCCAGCAGCATTAGCCTCCCATCAGCTGTTTGAGTCTTCTTTCTTACTCCAGCAACTTCACAGAGTACTCTGGATTTCCATTACAAAGGTGCCACAGTATATACTTTACTACATATTCAAGCTGCATTCAAGATGTACTTTTCCCTCTTTGTATTTTGTTTAGCATGCAAGTGTCTCCAGATTGTCACTCTGTTACCCGCTAACACATGCCTTCAAATGCCATCAGTTGTCCTTAACAGTTTGAAAATGAAAAAACACTTGGTTTCATAAAAGAGCAAATGAGAACATTTCCTCAATGAACTAAATGAACGTTGGAAGTGATGTAGCCCCAGGGTTATGCAGACAAGCTGTGCAATTCAACAG